CTCTTTTTTAGTATATATATAAGCCTGGCAAAGAAAGCCAGCAGCAGATAGATAGATAATTGAGTCAAGCGAACAGTAGGCACCATAAGTAAAGTGTGTGAATCACTGTGATTTATAGCGTGTGTTATAAAAGTCGTTAAGTTTAAAGCGACAAGGAAAGTATTGACTGTGGAAATTCTGTGTATTACAAAGTTTGTATCGAGGAAGAATAAACTGGGTTAATCAAGAAAGGACTTGTACCACTGAAGTTTCTCAGAAAGAATTTATACCAGAAATTAACAAACAAGCAGATACGTAACAGTACTAACACATGCACAACATGAAACTATAAAGAATTATTGAAAGGATTTTGTTTTTCTCTAAGGATACAGGAACAACTTACAATATGGCATTACCACTTCAGTATTATTATTGTAGAATGTTAAATACAACTAACTTGGATCTTACACAAGTTTTTATTAGTTGTACATAGCAAAACTTTTGCTTATTCTATTCACAACTTTTTACCAGGTTTACTTGGCATCATCAAGTGGGAAACAAAAACTGAAGTAAACAATTTTTTTAAATGAATTTCTGTTAACCTCAGTTCTTGTATCTCACCTGATAATGCCAGGTAAACCTGGTGAAAAGTTGCAAATAAAATAAACAAAAGTTTTACTGTGTACAAGCAACAAAAATCTTGTGAAAATTTTTAAAAAAAAGTTATTTCAAATATTTAATTAGCCTGGATCTTGCGTGTTTGCACTTATGCACATAAAAGTTTTTGCAACTGTAACACTTTATTAATACAATAATTCTTAAAATAATATTTAAGCCAACTTACCTATATGAATTTACCATTTTATACATTAATATTAACAAGAAAAGCTCAGTATCAACAAAAAGACTAGAAGTCATACATAAGAATCCTCATTAGAGCTGAGCAATTAGTGATATTTGCTAATCAATTAATCAATGTCCCCATTAATCAATTACATTTAATTAATAAATTAGTACAGTGTTCCTAAAACATGGTATGTACAACTAACAAAAAAAAACTCCCATCAAAGTCTATCAAGGTGAAATCTAAGTATTTTAGTCTCAAAACTATGTGTTGTGGTCTTTCTCTTATGCACTGCATTAAGATGTTTTGTGAAAAATCTGTATGTTATGGAGAAAAATGAATATCATTTTCAGATTCAGCATACAGGAATTACTGTATAACATATAAAAACAGGGGATGTGGGAATTATGGGCTAGGTTTGCAAGGAATTTTTCTACAACCTCCAGATAATAACCATTAACTTTCCAGTAATAAAAACTTGTGAATCCTGTTATTAATCTGTTCCATACAAAATTACCATGTGGCAAGTATTCTAATAATAATTAATGATCTTACTTAAGTCTGCAAATACATTCTTTAAGGAATATGCTATAGGTACAAGATTAGATTGTAACAACTTAACTGATTTTTTTAAAGCCCATCTGGTGCCCAAACAACACTAATTCAAGAAATCCATATTCATTTTTGTCAAAAAAAAGGAAAAAAAGCAAAGATGCTTTTCTACCCATTTTTTTCACTTTAACAAATACATCATTTACACTATACTTAAATTACAATCATAAAATAGTTTAGCAGGATTGTTTCTTAAGTTATCTGAAATATTTCAAATATTAAATACATAGGTTTCCTGTTACCAATTTTATGTGCAAGTCACAGTATTATCAAAATCACACATTATTACAAAGTTCTTGATTTTTTTTAGCTAAAACATTTTCCTTGAAAATATGCAAAATGATCATCATTAGAGTAGGAATATAATACCCTCCAAATACAACTCATGGGTATAATTTTAGTTGAAATCAGATTTGGTCTTAACATCGAGATTGAAACAATAACTCTTTTTTTCTATCGTGTAAGAATTTTTTACAAATTGATAATAAAAAAAATTTCTAACTTAGATTAATTTATTATTTCATTTACCACAATGAACATTTTTTATTATTA